TGACATCCCGAGTTGAGGTCAGCAGCACACCACAACCACTATAAACAGTGTTGGTGGTGTACTGCCCCCCCCCCCCCCCCCCAACCACCGGATGGTGGACCAGAATGGCTTCTCCGAACTCCTCTCATGTCTGAGTTTTTCCCTCAGCATCCACCCGAGCCGCATGTCGCCTGGACTGCCGGTACCCATCAGCTGCTTCTGGGGTCCCACAGGCCAAAAAGGCCCAATAGGATTCCATCATACAGGTTTTATGTCTTATGTAATGTTCTCATTTTTACTTTATTACTATTTGCACCTTATGTCGAAGCAAATTCCTAGTTGTGAACCTCGTTCATTGACATGGCAATAATAAACTGATTCTGATCAGCCTGACAGCATCCCTCACCGCCAGTGTCCATCACCAGGTTCGAGGGTTGTCGCTGCAACAGGCACCGGTAACCTTGCGGCCACAGCTCCGGTAAGCCGCCTCGACAATAGAGGCACGGAACATGGCCCACTCGGACTCAATGTCCCCCACCTCCCCCGGAACATGTTCAAAGTTCTCCCGAAGGTGGGAATTAAAGCTTCGTCTCACAGGAGACTCTGCCAGACGTTCCCAGCAAACTCTCACAATACATTTGGGCCTGCCAGGTCTGACCGGCATCCTCCCCCACCATAGGAGACAACTCACCACCAGGTAGTGGTCAGTGGACAGCTCCGCCCCTCTCTTCACCCGAGTGTTCAAGACATGCGTTCGCAGATCAGATGAGACGATGACAAAGTCGATCATCGAACTGCGGCCTAGGGTGTCCTGGTGGCAAGAGCACATATGGACACCCTTATGCTTGAACATGGTGTTCGTTATTGACAATCCATGATGAGCACAGGAGAGTCCAACAACAGAACACCACTCAGGTTAAGATCAGGGGGCCGTTCCTCCCAACCACACCCCTCCAGATCTCACTGTCATTGCCCACGTGAGCACTTAAGTCTCCCAGCAGAACAAGGGAGTCCCCAGGAGATGCACTTTCCAGTACCCCCTCCAAGGACTCCAAAAAGGGTGGATAATCTAAACTTCCGTTTGGTGCATAAGCACAAACGACAGTCAAAACCCGTCCCCCCACACGTAGGCGGAGGGAGGCCACCCTTTCATTCACCGGGGTGAACCCCAACACACAGGCACCAAGATGGGGGGCAATAAGTATGCCCACTCCTGCTCTGCGCCTCTCACCAGGGGCAACTCCAGAGTGGCAGAGTGTCCAACCCCTCTCAAGGAAACTGGTTCCAGAGCCAGAGCCATGCGTAGTGGTGACTCCGACCATTTCTATCCGGAACCTCATAGCCTCACACACCAGCTCAGGCTCCTTCCCCACCAGTGAGGTGACATTCCACGTCCCAATAGCCAGCTTCTGTAGCCGAGGATCAGACCGCCAGGGTCCCTGCCCTTGGCCACTACCCATCCCACATTGCACCAGACCCCTTTGGCCCCTCCCATAGGTGGTGAGCCCATAGGAAGGGATTTTTTATTTTTATTTTAAATATTTTAATAATTTAAAACTCAAAATGTAGTTTTGCCTAAATATCTTCCCAGGTCTGAATAAACTTTAGTGTCTCACTGTTTTTTGTTCTTACCATACCATACCACTTTATTTATAAAGCACTTAAAACAGCAACAAGGCCAACCAAAGTGCTGTACAGACAAAACAACAGGTAACACACAAAGCAAAATACAAAATGAGGTAAATCAGAATATAGACAAAAAACGATGCAGATAATGACGACAAACCAGTGTGGAGCATACAGGATCTCAAAACAGATCATCTGGTGTTGAAAGCTATTGAATAGTAGTGAGTTTTTAAACGGGACTTGAAAACCGAGAGGGAGGGGGCCTGTCTGACAAGCAGAGGTAACTCGTTCCAGAGTCTTGGTCCTGCTACAGAGAAGGCCCTGTCACCTCTGCGCTTAAGAAGAGTTCCTGGAACTGTGAGGAGCAACTGGTCTGCTGACCTCAGGGAGCGTGGTGGGACATACGGTTGTAGCAAATCAGAGAGATGGGGGGGCACTGTTCAGTGATTTGTAGACATACATGAGTATTTTGAACGGGATTCGAACGTGAACCGGTAGCCAGTGCAGTGAGGCCAAGACTGGTGTAATGTGCTCTCTTTTGCCTGTACTGGTTAAAAATTGGGCTGCTGCATTCTGGACCAGTTGTAGTCGTGCAATGGAGGTCTGACTGATACCAAACAGGAGTGAATTGCAGTAATCAAGCCTAGATGTAATGAATGCATGTATTACGGTCTCCAGGTTCTTTTTGGACAATATGGGCTTCAGTTTAGACAGCCGCCTCAGTTGGAAGAAGCATGATTTTACAATCATGTTTACATGATTGTTAAGTTTCAGGGAAGGGTCCATTATCACGCACAGATTAGTGACTCTTTGTTTTTCTGACAGGGTTAGAGCAGAGAGGTCGATGCAGTGGTTTGTGATTGTGTCGTTGGGAGGGAACAACATGACTTCAGACTTCTTTTTATTGAAACTTAAGAATTTTAAAGCCATCCAGTCCCTGATGTCAGCCAGACAGTTGAGCAGCGGTTGAATAGAGCATGTACCATTGTGTCTTAAGGGGAAGTAAATTTGACAGTCATCGGCATAGAAGTGGAAGGGCATGTTGTGTTTCCAGAAAATAGCACCAAGCGGCAGCAGGTATAAAGAGAATAGGAGGGGACCCAGTATGGATCCCTGCGGAACCCCCCATTTAAGCTCTGCCTCTGCGGAACTAAAATCCTTGATGGAGACACAAAAGGATCTGTCAGTGAGGTAAGATCTGAACCAATTGAGGGCTGATCCTGTGACGCCCACCCACTGCTCCAACCTAGCAATGAGGATCTCATGGTCGATGGTGTCGAAGGCGGCTGTGAGGTCCAACAGGACAAGCAGCACAGAATCACCAGTATCTGTGGATCTGAAGATGTCATTAAAGCCCTTCAGTAGGGCAGTTTCAGTGCTGTGGAGAGGTTTAAAGCCAGATTGGAATAGCTCTAAGATGGCATGATCCTCCAGGAAGCACTTCAACTGGGACTCGACTATTTTCTCCAGTAGTTTAGAAACAAATGGGAGTTTGGAGACAGGCCGGTAGTTGGAAACGAGTGAGGGGTCAAGGTTTGTTTTTTTCAGGAGAGGCTGGTGTTTAAAGGTTTTTGGCACCACGCCAGTGGATAAACTACTGTTTACTATGGCAAGAATGGACGGACTTAGAGTAGGAAAAACCTCCTTTAGTAGTTGAGGGGGGACCACATCAAAGGGGGAGCCAGAAGGTTTCAAATTGCACATGACCTGCTCTAGAGAAGATAGAGTGATGGGTTCAAAATGGTCAAAAGGAGCTACAGATTGAGGTGGGATGGATGAGTCATGAGTTGGAGGGGAAATGAGAGCCCGGGTGGTCGCAATTTTTTCCACAAAGAAATGTAAGAAGTTGTCGCACAGCTCAGTCGAGGCTTCCAGAGGTGATGGTTCAGTGAGGTGGAGAACAGAGTTTAGGGTGGAGAAGAGGACACGTGGGTTGTGATAGTTTGAAGTAATTATATCAGAGAAGAATTTTGATTTAGCAGCTTTTACTGTTTTCTGATAACGGCGCCAACTCTTCTTATCGTCCAAATATGGAAATTTTGCACTTAGCTGAGTTTGAGAAAAGTTTCATGTTTTCAGTCAGCTGGGTCTGAAGTTGGGAGGAAATACAAACAAAACAGGGAGAATAAAAAAAAAGCATCAGAACAGAAACAAGCTGAAGGAAACATGACTTTCACTCAGAACATTAAAACCAGGAGTAAAGGAAGTTCTGACTCATCAACGATCTGCGCTGGAGAAGAACTGGACCCTACACCTTCAACGAGACGTCAAGGAAAGCAGAACGTTCCTCTGTCAGATGATCTGGAGCTGCAGCTGACTCATCCTGGTGCACCCCACCACAGGAGAGGACACCAGCTGCCGACCACATATACAGGAAGAACGTCCAGTCGGTTCACACGTCCAGCTGGTGGTGCGGCCGAGGACCAACCGCCTCGCTGCTAATCTGAGGGGAGGCTGAAACATCTTCGTCTTCATAACTGCTCTGTCGTCAAGCTGTGGAGGCAACAGGTCCAGGTCTCCCCCCATTATTACATCCTCTTTGTGCCAGCAGCCCCACAGCATGATGCTACCACCACCGTGCCAGCCAGTGGGTACAGTTCTTAGGTCTGAAAGCCTCACCTAAACTCTTAACATACGTCTAGTCATAGTGGCCAAAAACCTAAAACTCTGTCTCATCTGACCATAAAACGTTTCTCCAGGAGACATCTGGTTTGTCCATGAGGACAGCTGGTGTACAACTGGTTCACTGTGGGCGGAGGCACATGGCAGCTGGTCGCTCTGAACATCCAACCGTAGGTCCTTCTGAGAACAGTTTGGATCTTCTTCCAGACGCTGAAGTGGTGACATGTTCAAATCCTTTTTATACTGGCAGAGAAACGGCCAGCTGCAGTTGATCGTGATCACTGATGAACCGGCCGCACGGTCTGGTCACGTTAGACCTTTACAAGATTCAGATGGATGGATACATTTGACCCTGTGGATGACAGAAAACTCTGAGCAGCAAACTCTGTCGTCATCGTTCAAGGTTCAGTCTCATGAGAGGAAACTTCTGACCACAGCTGGACCTCCCAGTGGCTGTGCGCCAGCACACATTCTTACTGGACCCATCACAGCTGAGACGCATGCAGCAGCATGACTGAGCTCTGCATTCTGCAGATCCAGGACACCGGAAGACACAAATTAAATCAAAACTTTTAATTAGAAAGTTGAAAAAGTGGCGGTAGGTACAGAGAGTTTCTATTTGCACTGAAACAGAGCAGAGATGAAGAAACAGGATCTGAACGTTTCTACCAAAGCAAGGAGACTGCAGTTTTGACAGAAAGATAAAAAAGTACATTTAAAATAAATAAAAATCATACATGTCCATCAAATAATGTTGCCATTTGTCTCATCTATGTTATTATTGCTGGTATATATTACCTTTGAAATGCAGTATGGTCCAGAAACAGACTGAAACAATATAAACATGGCCGAAGCTTCTTTTACGTTCAACATGGTGATGCATAAGTTAAGCAGTCAGGAACAGACATGAACATTCGTTTTTCCTCAAAACACTACGGTGAAGTGATGACAGAACAATACTTCATCTAGCTGCTGCTTCCTTCATGAACATCTTCCCACCAGGACAAATAAAAACAGTTCTCAACGACGAGTTGTGCTGATCGTTAGCTTGGCCGTGCATTTCGTAGTCCTGCACACGATTCAACACAAGTGTCTACGCTTGAGTTTGACGGTGAAAAGGTGAACGATCTATATTATTAGTGGCTTTTGGCTTCATGTGTTTTAAAAATCCTGAGGAGAAGAGATGATCCGTCCTTCCAGTCGACGTCAGATTAAAGTTTCAGTCCGATTCCTCAGAGGAGGCAGCAGCGTCACAGCTGGTGGACTCGTCCTCTCATCCTTGGCTGCCGCAGGACGACAGGCTGTCGTACAGCGAGTCGCTCAGAGACTCGGGGGTCTCCAGGACCTGGGGGCGGCTTGGGGAGAGTGCTTCCTCTGGTCGCTCCCTGAGCAGCTCCAGCCCGGCCTCCCGGTTCATCTCGGGCACGCTGGGGGTTCGCATTTTCCCCCTGCGGCTCAGTCCAGACTGGGCGGGCACGGGCAGGTTTCCTGGGTCCACCATCCTGGGTCCACTGGAGGAGGGGCCGCCGGCCTTCATGTTCTGAGGGACGGGAGATAGTTCAGTCACTTATGTGATGCCTTCAGGTGCAGAAAAAGTGGGTTAGAGAAAGCAGTTCATTTTAATAATGAAATGGTGGCCGTGTGTTTTCGCAGCACTAAACCCAGTTGTAAACAAGAACGTCGCTGTAACTGGCCCATTGTTTCTCACCCCCCACCACTGAAAGGCAATGGTTCTGCCCATGTCTGCAGAAAGCAAGATGGCCACCACAGCTACTCAAAATGGCTACACCTCAGTGAATCTGATGCACATGAGCTCAGTTCATTCTACAGTTCTTCTGGGCCTACCCCTCTGAACGGTGATCCAAAAGCTACAGCGTCTTCCTCCTCCTCTTCGACTGCCAGGTACACCTCTGCTGGTCCTGCGGGGGTTTTCAGGTTGGGGAAAGTCCAGGTCTTGGTGCGAGGAGAGAACATGTTGGCTCCGTGGGGCTCGGCGTCTGCAGGCGGAGGAACAGGAACGAACGTGAACACAAGAGCTGCAGGACCACTGCACTGCAATTCAGTTTATTTATAGAGCTCCAAGTCACAACAGAGGTCGTCTCAATACACTGAACAGAAACATTCACATATAAAATAATAATTGAACATTATTTATCTGACGAGCAGCTTTGACTTTAACTCTCATCTCGAACAAGCATGAAGGCGACAGTGGAAAGGAAAAACTCCCTCATGAGGAAGAAACCTTTAGCAGAACCAGGATCAGGACAAGAGGACCATCTGCTTCAACCGGCTGGGTTTGGTAAGAACAGATACACAATGGCAGGTCAAGAATCACGTTAAGATAGAATCAAATGAAAACTATTCAGTTTTAACAATTAATTTAAGGAGATGAGGTCAGTTTGTCCTCCAGTAGTCTAACAATCAGCTTCTTACTGTGAATGCTGACTCAGCATATTGTTTTCCTGTTTATACTCATTTGGGTGCATTTCTGCTCTCAAACTAATTCAGCATATATTCAGCTGATGCAGTATAAAACGTTCAGCTAGTTCAGGACATTTCGGCTAGGCTTTTTGG